ACCAGCCTGTGATGCTACTAGGGGGTAGTGGAACCTTTAGAAGTAAAAGCAAGTTAGGTAACTGGAGATATGCCCTTGAAGGCACCTGCTCCTCCTCCCCTCTATCTTGGTTTTCTTATCAACATCTTTCACCATGATGTGCTGCTTTGGCATGGGGCCAAAGCAATATAGCCAAGCAACCATGAACTGAAACCTCTGAAACTATGGGACAAAATACACCTTTCCTCTTTATAAGTTGATTAGCTCAGGTATTTTGTCACAGTGATGGATAGTTGACTAACACAAGGGGCTCATGAGTCACAATAAGCTATTGGAATATGGGATGTTTGAAAATCAAGGATAACAAAACATGTTATAAATGTTAGCTGAAAGAAACCTGGAGAGGCTATATGAACATCGAATAAAATAGATATTAAGCCAAAACACATCATGGATTTGGATAGGGCCCTATGCTATACTAAAAGTTAACTTCAGTATCAAGAGTTTTTAAGACTCTAAAATTATATGCACATACATTCAGTGAAATTATCTCTTAAATATAAAAATTTTAAAACTAGAAATACGAGGAAAAACTGACAAACTCTCCAAAATCATGACAAATTTTAATGTTCTTAATAGTTATTGATAACCCAAGCATGTGAGAAGTTAGTTAAAATTTAGGATATTTTAGTAGTACAACTGACAAACTTCAAATGTGAACATCTATAAAACCCTACACCCAATAGCTAAGGGCCATACAAGCATGTATGGAACATTTATAAAACTTACTTCTTTAGGTCTGTAAAGCAAATGTCAATAAAAGTCAACCAGCATCCTATGGAACACATTCTTTGACCACACCAGTTAAGAACTCAACAATAAAAAGAAAAGAATTGGCATACATTTGAAATTTAGTAACAAACCTGTATAATAAATTGTGGGTCAAAGATGAGATAACAAGAATGGAAAAATAATTAAAATACACTTTTCAAAACTTGTTGAAGCATAGTCAAAGAAGGTTCACAGAAGCAAATGTGTAGCTTTGAATATGTGCACTTTTTAAAAGCCTATAAAAATTGGGCTAAGCCTTCAACTGAACCTAGAAAAGGCAAACCAAGAGTAAGCCCACACAACAGAATGAATAACAAAGAGGAGGAATTAATGAATTAGAACACAAACAAAACCATAGTTGGATATAACAGATACTCTAATGGTGAGATTAATTCTTCAAAAAAAAAAAAAAGGCGGGGGGGAGGAGGGAATGCACTAACAATAGATATAAAACCAATACTAAAGTTTGCTCTTTCTAAAGTGCCCACAGCAAATCTGAGACTACCCGACTAGAATTTGAGCCTGGCTAACTCCCTTCTCCAGCATCTACCATAGCTCATTATGTGCTTATCAGATGCTCGTGAACACAGGTTAGGCTGGCACCGAGTGGCTGGCCCACTGGGTTGACACATGTCTTGGGATGATTATGCAGGAAGCCAGCAGGGCCACTTGAGGAATGTGGATGACTCCTGACAGCAAAGCAGCCGACACTCTTCCACATTCACATCCTTCAAACTGACCTTCTTTTTATCATGGAAAAAATTAACTCTAGAAGGGAAAAGCAATTGTGATTCTGTTTGTTTGTAAAAGTGCTCTGAAGCCTGCGATAGTCTTTTTCTTCTTCTTCTTTTTAATCTCTGGCATACCAGCAAACATCAAAATCCTAGGGTCAGTCTTGAAGACTTTCCTCCTGAGCAGTGAATTGAAACATTTGGCAGATAAGGTTCTAGCTTGTTTGCTTTCTGCATTACACCAGGTTTTACTCTGCCCAATGTCTGATAATCACATAAAGCTGAGACTTAGATGTCACTAAAATCTATATTAAGGAAGTTCAATGTGGATGAGAAATCCCCTGCCTTCGCTTGAGCAAAAGACACTGGGTAGCTGGCTTGAAACAGCCAGCACTTAACCTTGACCCGGACTTAGATTCTTGGCATTATTTTCAGTTGCAAGCTGTGAAAAGGGTGGATGGGATGTAAGTGACCATTTTGCAACGTTTGTATCAAGAACATAGAGAACCATTCTCACCAAATGCAGGCACAGCCTTCCCAAGAGCTAGCAGCATTCTCAACACCACCAAGTGAAACAAAATAGCTGGTTGGCCACAGACCACAATTACACAGTTACTACAAAGTTACAAGGGTTCCTGCAGGTGACAGTGTGTGGTCCCAGTATCATGTTTCATGAAGTTGTATGAAAGATTTACAGCACTGTGAGAAGGGAAAACACTGACTTACAATCAAGACTCATGGATTCTAATCCACTTTGTGTACATGAAGGGTGGGGACCCTGGCAGATCCTTAAACATCTGAGCATCAGGTCTCCCCTAATAGCCAGGACCATGACACCTTACCACAATGGTACTAGGATTAAGTTTAAGGCACATGAGAACATTCTGGAAAGTGGGCAGCCTTAGACTTCAGGAGTATGAAAAGACGTTGGGTTCATGGCACTGACTGAAGATAGAACCACAGTTTCATTCACTTTGATAGAATTTGAGGGAACCAAAATGAACTGGTTCATATTCAAAACCAAAGATGGACACATCTCACCCTGTGAGATTCTGGGTGACTTTGCGTGATTGTACTTCCTGAATAGATGCGAGTGGGGCAGAAATTCCTCTTAAGAATCAAAATACACAAGACAAACAAGCCAAAAGAAGTACAAAACTATTTGGAAGTTACAAATAGTATATTAAAAAGAAAAACAAAACTCATGTGAGGCTTTAAGGAGTGCATTGCAAGTATCATCTTAGTTTTCTCTGGAGATGTTTGATCAGTGCTCTGAGCAGTGACTTTCTGGAGACAACAATGGCATTTGTAGTGTTGTTAAGGGCTTAATCCAATGCCTACTTTCACACATGAGAAAGCTAAGCTCAGAGAAGTTAAGTGGTATGTCCAAGTCACACATCGAAGCTAGAGACTATATCAGGACTGGTCCCTGACTTTCCACCATTCTACACTGTGTTTTAGGAGCCACTGATTTTTGCAGACCTCTATACACTGACCTCGACTCCCCATCTTGATAAAACCCTATGGTGTTCCTCACTTTGAGACCCCAGAAAGTTTCTAACACATTTGCCAGGGTGTTGACTTACAGACTTCATGACTCTCTTCTGTCATATGCAAGCATATGCATGCATGCAAACCTCACTGGGGTGTGTGTGCGCATTTTGCTTCTAAAGGCTTGTTTTGCTCTCATTTTTAAATGTCTTCAAAAATCAGGAGTTCACACTCCTCTGGTTCAGTTGGGAAGTGAGCGAGCACTAAGCAGCCTGGGTGAGTGGAGCAGAAGTAGACACAGACATGCAGTGCCTGGAAAGTGCTGGGAATAACACCCTCTCTTACTCAGGCCTTGACCTGTCCATTTTAATCCTAAAATCCTGAACCAGAAGACCACAGCTTAGAAAGCAGTCCCTGGTCTATGCAGGCATGAAGTAGAAATTAAAGGACCCAAACACACACACTGCCCAGCTGGGCTGCCATGGCCCTATCCCCAGTACCCAGCATGGGGCTGAACCAAACAGCATAACCCAGTGAGCTATATCCCAACTCCAGAGATACATGGAACGCCATTAACAGTGGCAGAAAGGGTGCTCTGCCTTCTACCCCAGGGTTTCCCCATTATCCACACAAGTGCCTTAAAAATGTTTTTTGGGGGGCAGGGTGCAGTGCCTCATACCTATAATCCCAGCTACTTGGGAGGTGGATATCGGAAGGATCAAGGTTTGAGGCCAGACCAGGCAAAAAGTTAGTGAAACCCCATTTCAACAAACAAATAGTGCATTTCTTTAATCCTACATGGGAGGTAGCAGTATTGTGAACTGAGGCTGGTCCCTGTGTGTGGGGGGGGGGACTGGAGACCATATCTGAAAAATAACTAAAGCAAAAAAATGCTGGGGGTGTGTCTCAAGTGGTAGAGCTCCTGCCTAGAAAGCACCAGGCCCTGAGTTCAAAACCTCTAACCCACCCCAAAAAATGTTTTGACAAAAACTAATGTTTTGACAAAAAAAAAAAAATGACAAAAATTTTCTTTCTCCATTTACCTGAGCACAATCATCTTGTAAAACTTAAGCTGAGCTGTATTTATTGACCAAGTTCACTAAGAATTGAGCCAGGCACAGTTAAAGCGGTTTCTGAGCTGATTCTTACAAAGTTCAAAGCCACAGGACACAAGCAGCCCAGCAGGATCCACAAACATACCTGAGGCCAAGGAAGGAAGCCCCCTGACCTCGGAAAGAGCTGCTGACCAGACACACCCAACAAAATGTGGGCTTGTCCCCACCCACTGCAGCAGCCACCGCGGGGTAAATCGCTCTTGCTGTGTCCCTGTAAATTACTAGCAGGAAAAGCCAGAAACACTTATCCTACACTTAGGCTTTCCCAACTTCTCTTAGACTGCTGCTCCTTGCCCCAAAACACTCTACCAAAACACTCTACCAAAAAAGGTCTTGCGACCTTTGTCCCCTTGTGTTTCAGATAATCATTTGGGCTACTGGAAAAAGCTGTTTTGCCTTCAAACATTGTTTTCCCCTCTCCTGTTCCCCCTGGACACCTCAAATCAACCCAGACCTGCCCTGCAGGAGTCGACCCCATAATCTCCAATCCTGCGCCAAAGCATCTCAGATAACGCGCATCTGCTGGGATCCTTCAATGCTGGGCAGGTGTGTTCGGAGTGCCGGACCTTGGCCTCTGTCAAAGTTTCCTTCTCACCTGAAATCACAGCATCCCTGTTAACGCACGAGCACAGGAAATACACCAAAGGCCTTTCCCGGGCTTTACGATCGCGCAGCATCTCCAAGTGCAGCATAGATGAACCTGCCCGGTCCCCAAGATAGCCAACAGGTCTCCATCTCCATGGACCTTGCCTGGTGGCCGACTTGTCACATTCCCGGTGTCCGCGGGGAACCAGAGCGTCCTCCTCCCCGGGCCCGCTTCCCTAGGCTGTGTCCCCGCTCCGGACGCCCTTACCTCGCTGACGATGGTGGCGTGGGTCTGGACATAGCGCCAGCCGCCGCTGCAGGGCACGAGGGGCGCGGAGCGATTGGGGAAGGCGGCGAGCGGGTCTGCGCAACTGAGGGCCGCGGCGGCGCTGGCGTTGGCCGCCTCCAGGAGGTAGCGCTGGCAGTGACCGTGGCCGCGGCGGGCGGGCGCCGTGCGGTTCCACTCCTCCTCGGGGCTCCAGGCGCAGCGCTCGGCCAGCGCGGCGGCGCTCGGCCCGCGACACCAGTAGTGGTCGGGCTGGCTACCCAGGAAGACCACGCCGACGAAGAGGAAGGCGAAGGTGACGCCCGTCAGGCACAGCAGCAGGAACACGCGCCGCTGGAAGCGCCCGAACTCGCCGGCCCTGCGCAGCGCCTGATCAAAAGACTGCATGGTGCGCCCCGGCCGGCCGCGCCACCCCGCGAGCGCGTCCCGCCCGCCGCCGCCGCCGCCGCCGCCGGGCCTCCGAGTGACCCGCGCGCTGCGCTGGCCGCCGCTCTATACCCGCCGCCCCCCCGCGCCGCCCGCCTCAGCCGCCTCACCCGCCCTGGCACCGCGCCCGCCACGCCCGCCCCGCTTCCGAGGGCGCCCCCAGCAGTCCCCGCCGAGGGACTGGCGGGCTCTCCGGCAGGAGCATGCGGGGCGGTCCGGTCCGGACCCACCCGGGACCCACCGGGTGCCCGGGCAGCGCGCCTGGCCGAACGACACTGCGCGCCAGGGCCCCGGCCCGGGACTGCGAGTGACGGGCACCGTCTTCGGCCTGGCGCAGAGTTCCATTCGGCCCCTGCCAGCAGCCTGCGCGGCGAGGCGTCCTGGGTCGGGCTCCAGGGCAGGAAAGTTCCAAGCTCACTCGGCCCCTCCCGGGGCGCCTCGGACTCCCGAGTGCAGCCCGTGGGGACTAAGGATGCGCGCACGGAGACCCCGGCAGCCCTGCTCCTCGTGGGCGCAGAAGTCACTCGGCTCCGCGCACCTCGGGGCGGGGTGGCCGGCCGGCTCCGGGAACAGAGCTGCTCATCTGCCCTGGACTGGTCGCAGGGCTGGGACCATGCGAGGTTAGACGTAGCACATCTCAGACATCGTCCAACTCTCTTACGAGGACGAGGACGGCGGGCGTCCACAGAGGCAAGCCATTTGCTCAGAGCGCTGGAAGGTCAAGGTGAGAAGGGACCAACCACCTTCTAGCCAGGACTTCCTGACCGTCAGTAAGAATGGCAGGGAAAGAGTATTTCTTGCCTCATTGACTTGAACCCATAATTTTACCTTCTTTATTTTCCCCCAAAGGCCTGCAGAACTGGTGGGATGCCGACTCAGGGCCTTTGCTCTTGTCCAAGCTGTCCTCTGCCCTAGGACGCTTGCCCCTCTCCCGCCACTGGTTACCCTCTGCTTCTTGGCTGAAGCTTCTCAGGTCACCCCATGACCACCTAGCACAGTGGAGAGCAGGTTCACTGCGTTAGCCTGGCCTCCTGCCTCTCAGTTCTGAGAATTTCCCCAGCTCTTCTTCCCACTCTCACCCCCAAAGCTATCCGCCCACCTGTGTCCTAAGCCCACTTTTCTCAATGGGTCAGAGAGGCACACTTACCCCAGAGCCGGGTCTGCCCATCATCCCCTCACCAGCTCCTGATCTCCTGACCTTGCACATTTTAATCCACCAGCCCCAGTTTTGCCTCCTATGAAAGAAAGCTAACAATGTACATAATATACATCCTCCTGTGAGGACCGCATGCATTCATAGGTGGAAAGTGCCAGCAAACAGGTTCACGTTGTGTACTCAATGAGCCTTAGCCCTTACTGCAGAGTTCTTTGCTGCTGAGTTAATGACTCTGTGGGGTTGGCCCAAGGATTACAGAAACTGTGCAGAATGAAACACTTGCTGGATGACAGTTTCCAGTTCTAGTGTTCTCTCTCTCTCTTGCCCCCTCACCCCCCACCAAGCTCAGTTGCTGGGACACATCTGTCCCCTACTCAGCAGTGACTTCTGTGCCTACATGTTGCTGCTCAAGAGTCTTGTCCATATTTTGAGCTACCTGCTGGACCCCAGATGAAATCTGTCCTCCCAACCCATTTCCTCCTCTGCACTGCCTTTGGTATAAACACCTTTGACACCAGACTCAGAATCACTGTGATATCTCAGCTTCCTTCATCCCTCAGGCCTTTAATCAAATGTCACCTGGGGGGCAGGGAGCCATCCAACCCCTCTCCCACCCGACGACCAGCCTCCCTCCTTTTCCTGCCTTGTCTCCAAAGCCCTTACCTCTAGCAAATTTCTTTCCACTTGCTCTGCTTTTGTTTTTACTTATCCTCTTGTTTATCCATCTTACCTGTGCCCCTCCACTGCAATTCAAGTTCCACAAGAGCAGGAAGTTTTGTCTGGTTCATTCGTGTCTATGCCAATGCTTGGCAGTAGTAGATGCCTGGTGCTCTAGGTGCTGGGTCAGCCCTCAGTGCTTCCCTGCTGGACATCTGTCCTGAGCCCATTTATGCCTACCTGAGGCCAGTGTACACTCAGGATGGTCTCTTGCTGGCACAGTCCAGAGGGCCTGCCTTCTGGCCTTCCGTGGCCCCACTCCCTTTCCAAATTAAATCCTCACTTCTCACACCCTCTCTCTTGAAGTCCTCATCCATGTCTCTTGCCAAGTGGGCCCCTTATGAACAGACAAACAGAACTACATGCTAACCTTCAAATCCTTGAATTTTCCCAGGTCTATGACTATGCACATGAGGTTCCATCTTCTTGGAATTTCACCCTCCTGCCCCTCCCTGCTCACTGCCCAGCAAGGCTACTTCCAAAGCCAGTGCCTCCTCCAAGAGTCCTTCCCCAGCAAAAGCTCTTGGTAACTGTCTTCAGTCATGCTCCCCAAATACCCAAGAACCTGCTCATGGAGTTCCTCTACATTTTTGCATTGTGCTTGTTGGGGTATTTTCTTTTTAATTACCTTATTTTCAATGATGTAGTCTGATCATGTGGACATTCAGATCCTATGAAAGTCCTGTTAAGAGTGTGGACTCTGGAGCTGGACCCCTGGGCTCACATCCCCCTCCTCCTCATCACTGAGTGACACTGGGCGAGTTATTTAGCCCTCTTCTGTAAAATCAAGAACTAATGGAATGTTCTCATTTTTAAAGCAAGCCACTTCCAACAGTCCTTGAAACACAAGAGCTCTATAAGAGTTAGCTATTAAAGGAGAGCAATAAAAATTCCACCCTCTCCCAGAATCAGCCCATGGTGTCTTATTGGTTTGTTTTGAATACGCTGTTACAAAACACTAACACATCACAGACACAGTTGGGGTCTCCTTCCTACCCCTTCAGCTCCTACCCCCTGTCTCTCTGCATCCTCCCTGGGGCAGCCACTTGACACTCGCTTTAGGAGGTAAATCCTGAAAACCAGCTTCAGGACACTGAGCAGACATCCTGGGGGGCTCCAACAGTGTGACTGGGGTGGGCGAGGGAGTGTGTGATAGGCATCTAGCTGGCCTAAATGGACCCTCCCCAAAGGACCTGGACTCTCTTGCTCAGGTGTAATTAGTCAGAAATTTTAACCACTCTTCTTGGCTAGGTTTTAATCCTTTTAACTCAAGAAAAATTGTGAATAAACGACAGAGAGTATTGGGAGTGCTTTAAAAATATACATAAGCCAGGCAGGGTCGCACAAGTAACCCCAGATACTTGGGAGGCAGAGGCAGAAGGATGACCAAACTGACCCTGGCAAAAGCACCAGGTCCTATCTGAAAATCAAACAACAGAAAAGTACTGGGGATGTGACTCAAGTTGTAGAGCGCTTGCCTAGCAAGATCAAGGCCCTGAATTCAAAACCCAATACAGCGCCCCCTCACCCCGCAAAAAAAGAGAAAATTTACCTAAATGGAACATACTCTTTATTTTTCAGTTGCTTCTCTTTTCCACATCACAGTGTATTTTTGAAACCTGTTTTTGATAAGTACAGAACCAGCTCACTGACTCTGAGGGCTATATGTCCTTCTGATCTTTTTTTTCTTTTTTGCGGTACTGGGGCTTGAACTCAGAGCCTGCACCTTGAGCCACTCCACCAGCCCTTTTTTGTGAAGGTTTTTTTTTTGAGATAGTGTCTTGAGGAACTATTGCTGGCTTCAAACCTTGATCTGCCTGAACTCTGCCTCCTGAGTAGCTGGGATTGCAGGTGTGAGTCACAGGTGCCCTGCCATGTCATTCTATTGAATGGTCATGGCACTGCTCCTTTACTGAGGGACATTCAGCTGGTTTTGAATCCATACAGTTACTGATTGTGCACATTTCCCTGGGTGTTGTGCAAGAGTCGATCTAAGGCAAGTTCCTAGAAGTAGTAGCTAGACTATAAAGCGCACGTATTGTGAGCTCTTCTAAACATTACTAAATTGCTTTCCAGACAGAAGGCCCCAACTCACATCCCCCAGCAACACCCTAGCTTGGCCACATCCACGCCAACCTTTGGTCTTGCCCATCTCTCTCAGCAGATGCTCTGGGCATCAACAGCAGGCTCCTGGTTCTGTTTACAATGTCCCTGAGTTAGCAGGTCATTTGTACTGTCACATTCGTATGCCATTCACCTTCTGTGAGTTACATCCTCCTGCTCTATCTGTTATGGGAGGGTATTAGATTTGGGGGAAGTTGTTTGTATATTTGTGTATTTTCTCCTTTGCCAGGTAAATGTGTCCTATCTGTTTGGTCTGTGGCTTATCCTAACTTTCTCATGTCTTGGGAATTACAAAAAAATTTAATTCTGATGTAAAACTTCTCTTTTCCCTCACTTCTGCTTTTTGAGTCTTGCTGTAAAAATCATGGTCAGCTGAGATATTATATCTTTCTCTAATATATTTTTATTAAATCATGTTTTTGAGTTGAATTTTAATATCCCTGGAGTTAATTCTGTGCAGAGTGTGGTGGAATCTAATTTTACTTGTGTTTTCCATATGGTCAATTGGTTTTCCAAACTCCACATAGCTGAAGAATCTTTCCTTTCCCTCAGATTTATGGACCTGCCTCGATCTTATGTGAGGATCCCACTCTCACTGGAGTCTGATCTGAGCCCTCCATTCTGGTCAACATACTGCTGTCTGTCCATTGGCAAGCTGATAATCCACTGGTCACTACTGTACTTCGGTAAGACTTTTTCCCCCTGGTGGTTCCAGGGTTTGAACCCAGGGCTTCACACTGCCCCTTAGCCATGCCTGCAGCCCTGTCTGGGTTTTCGTTATTTTTTGAATAGGATTTCATGTGTCTGCCTGGGCGGGCATGGACTGTGATCTGCTAATTTACACTTTCCCTGTAGCTGCAATGACAGGTACATACGTCCAGCTTTTGATTAGATGGGGGTCTCATGATCTTTTTGCTTGAGTTGACCTGGAAATGAGATCCTCTCAATTTCAGCATCCTGAGTAGCTGGGATTACAGGTCTGATTCACAGCACCCAGCTCTATAAGAAGTCCTAATATCCCATTCAAGCCTCACCTCTCCTTTCCCCTTATATTGCTCCTTTTCCAAATCACCTGGGCCATTCTTGGGCCCTTTTTCTCCCATATAAATTTTACATTTTACTAAGGTCCACACAAGTTGAACTGGATTTTGATTTAAAATCATGTATGCACTTTATCACTCCCTCTTGCTTTGCAGGAATTTTGAGAGAAAAACCAAGTCACCTTCACCTTTCTATCATCAAAGCATTGATAACTGTTGCACATTGGCACCAGCCAGTGTGGGGCCCTCCAGCCCCATGCCGCTGTTTAAATTCACATTAATTAACACTAAGTCTCCCATCAGTCACATTTCTAGTGCCCAGTGGTCACTGGTGTCAATAGTGTCTAGTGGCTAGCACATGGACTATGCAGACAGAGAACATTTCTGTCATCACAGAAAGTTCTGGTGCACAGCATTGACCTATGTGCAGTGATCAGCAAATGTTGGCTGAAGTATAGCGATTCCTAAAAAACTGAATACAGAATTACCTGGACCCACCAGTCCCACTACGGAAACAGATTCAATGGAAATGAAATGTATTAAAGAGACTCCTGAACTCCATGTTTATTGCGGCACTATTCACAATAGCCAAGTTATGGAAACAGCCAAGATGCCCCAGCACTGATGAATGGATTAAGAAAATGTGGTATCTATACACAATGGAATTTTATGCAGCCATGAAGAAGAACGAAATGTTATCATTCGCTGGTAAATGGATGGAATTGGAGAACATCATTCTGAGTGAGGTTAGCCTGACCCAAAAGACCAAAAATCGTATGTTCTCCCTCATATGTGGACATTAGATCAAGGGCAAACACAACAAGGGGATTGGACTATGAGCACATGATAAAAGCGAGAGCACACAAGGGAGGGGTGAGGATAGCTAAGACACCTAAAAAACTAGGTAGCATTTGTTGCCCTTAACGCAGAGAAACTAAAGCAGATACCTTAAAAGCAACTGAGGCCAATAAGAAAAGGGGACCAGGAACTAGAGAAAAGGTTAGATCAAAAAGAATTAACCTAGAAGGTAACACCCACGCACAGGAAATCAATGTGAGTCAATGCCCTGTATAGCTATCCTTATCTCAACCAGCAAAAACCCTTGTTCCTTCCTATTATTGCTTATACTCTCTCTACAACAAAATTAGAAATAAGGGCAAAATAGTTTCTGCTGGGTATTGGGGGGGGGAGAGGGAGGGGACGGAGTGGGTGGTAAGGGAGGGGGTGGGGGCAGGGGGGAGAAATGAACCAAGCCTTGTATGCACATATGAATAATAAAAGAAAAATGAAAAAAAAAAGAGACTCCTGAACTCCATGTTTATTGCAGCACTATTCTGAATAAGCAAGATGCAGAATCAACCAAGGTATCCACTGGTGAATTCGTGAAAAACGTGAATAGAATATATTTACACAATGGAATATTACTGAGTCAGAAAAATGAATGAAATCCTGTCACTTGCAACAACTTGGATGGCACTGGAGGACATCATTTTAAGAGAATAAGCCAGATACAGGAAGACAAATACCCATGTTCTCACTCGCTTGTGAAGGCTTAAAAAAATTGGTCTCCTCAAAGGAGTGGAATATGGTTGCAGGAGCCTAGGAAGCATGGGGGGATGGGAGAGAAAGAGGTTAAATGATGGGCACCAGAATCCAGCTATATATCAGGAATTAGTTCCAGTGTTCTAGAATACAGTAAGCAAAGGCTCCAACAATTTTGGATATATTTCAAAATAAGTATGAATCCAAAGGTTCCCACCATGAGGAAATGATAAATACTGAAGGAAAAGGAAATACTGACTAGGCTGACTCGATCATCACACATTGATATGTATTAAATTAACATGTAGTCTACCCACAAATATATGTTAATTTTAAAAATAAGATAAATGTTGGTTGAATATAAATAATAAGAATCAATTGTCCTCCTCCCAATCTTTAGCTTTTGTGACACATCTTGACATGAATGCTTTTTGAAAAAGATAATTGTTTTAGCTAATTTATCTGAAATTTTACAGCTGGCATTTTTATTGCACATAGGATTGGCTCTTCGAGGTGTTACAGCATCTTCACCCCATGGTGAGCTTCCAAAGGAAGCCATTTAAGTGACATTTGTGCTGCTTGGGCACAGTAGAGCCGATGAAGATAACTTTGTTTTGGAATACTATAAGTGTTAAAACTTTTTCTTCGAAGTTCCATTGGAAGAAAACTTGGCAAGTGGATTGTGCATGTGCTCCTACCTAAAGCAACACAGGAAGGAATCACATTTTCTTTTTCTTTTCTAACAAGTGGGTAAGAATGGCTGAAAGACTCGTCCTTTGGTATTTGGCATGGAAGAGCTATTTCACCTTCACCTGTTAATGTAGTAAGAACTATGAAGGATTTGCATGACTCTATGGACTACAATTAAACCCTACTGTTGACTTAAGTTAGTCATTGACTCAAATTGACCAGTATTCATAATTATCTTTAATTTGCCAATTGGTTACAGTTATTCCTCTAGAGAAAAGTTTCTGTTTGGGGAGGAAATACTGCAGATAATATATCCTTTAAAAATAGATGCTTTCTTTGTACTTGAAGCCTAGAGGGCTTAGATAATTTATATTAATTTGGGGTGGGGACAGAACTGGGGTTTGAACTCAGGGCCTTGTGCTTTGCTAGGCAGGTGTTCTACCTCTTGAACCACACACCCTAGCCCAGGTTATTAGATGATTTAGAAGGTGGTAGCCAAGAAAAAATGCTAAGTAGGGCTAAATATTCCAGAATTGGGTTATGACAAGGTAAAAAAAACTTAAGTGGGAAACTTCTGAAGTTCATATCTACCCTATAAAATATAAAATAGCAAGTCTTTGCTTTCCTTTTCAATGCTTGTGGTGTTTGCACTACTCTATTAGGCACAGGGTGACACAGGGCAGCTCTGGAGCCCTGGTCTTCCCCATGGCTGAGGGCAGGATGAGAGGCAGGTTCTTCTCACACCCCACCTCCATCACTTGGTAGGCACTGCTTACAAAGATGGTGTTGGGAATAACTGAGGTGGCGGGAAAGGAGGCCACAAGTGATTAGGAAGATTTACCATGGGTAGAGAAGGGGGAGAGGCAGAGGGGATGTAGAAGAGTGGGCATCCTTTTGTTGGTCAGAGCAGTCTGGGAGGAAGCAATTGCCATTGAACCTTTTCTCTGTCCCCACAACTCTTAGGGCCTATTGTACCTTAGAGCGTTCTCCCTCCCCCTCTCCTTCCCTCTAATGAATGGTATTTCTTCCCATGAAAACAAAAATTCTACTTTCTAATGAAATTCCCTTGGAATATTCCATTTATATACAGAAAGTAACTTATAAAGTCACTTTATTTAGGCCACATTTTTGTCAGCTCAAAATTCAAGATCAGGTGGCCCCATTGGTTTGGCCTCTCAGAAGGACCTTCAGCTACATCACAACGAATGGTATCATGGCAGGAGTGCGTGCAAGGAGAGAGCAGGCATGCACTGAAACAGCAAGCAAGATTCAGGGCTCCAGCTTGCTCTTTCCATAATACTGCTTTCTCCTGAGAACGAAGGCACTCCCTGAGGCCAGCACTGATTCCTTCTGAGGGCAGCTCCCACCCCCAGGACTTATTTACCTTGCTCTGGGCTCCACCTCTTCAAGGTTCCACCATCTCAATACAGCCACACTGGGGACCAAGGTATGAACTTTCAGAGGACACTCAAGCCGCATCCCAGCCCCAGCTGTCTTGCATGTGGACGAGCTCCGCACGGATCCTCTCCCCCCAGGCTCTGCCCTTCTGCCCAGAGGAGAGGAAGGAGGAGAGCTGTGGACGAGGACAGTGTGGTGCTCTTACCTGGGCCTCACTGCCCGGCCAGGGCTCTGGGACTGAGCCATGGGAACACCAGCAGTGGCCTCTTCCTGGGACCAGCCCTGGATGTGCCCTTGTGGTGGCTTCTGGACCCTGGCTTCTCTCTGTGCAGAGAGACACTTTCTTGCCCTGGTTCTCCTGCCCTGCTGTAGATTCTCTACATTGCTGCCTGCTATCTTCCCCAATGTCTCCTCCTTCATCTAGTGGGATTCACGTGATGTTTATTGGATGAACGAATGCTGGGTGACGTCTCTTCTTTCAACCAGTGTTTAAACTCAAGTGCTTTGTGCTAAATTGCGACTCTCTACATGCATATATTGAAGCCCTAGCTCCCACTGTGATGGTATCTGGAAATTAGGAGTTTTGGAGAATTTAGGGTAAGATGAGGGAATGAGTGTGAGACCCTTGTGGCAGGATTGCAGTCCTTTTTATAAGAACACTTGCGCAGTCTCTCTGCTTTTGAGGAGGCAGCCACCTGCAAGCCAGCAAGAGAGCTCTAACTAAAACTCAACCATGCCACTTCAAGCTTGGACTTCCAAATTCGAGAACTGTGGGAAAATCAACCTCCACTGGTTCAGGCCCCTCTATGTGTATCCCATATTGGCAGCCGAGAACTAAGACAGGTGGTGTCCAGTTGTTCCCACTGAGAACACTGATTAAAAGAAATGGAAGAAAGTTAGTGAAGAGCCACTTTCAACTGTGTAAAAACTGCAGTGTTATTTATTAGCACCCTGAAGAGAAATGCCTTAAGATTTGGAAGTAGTGATATTGCTAATAGAAAAAAAGATTTCTTGTGTAGCTTTTTATCAGTCTTGGGAGAAAGAGATAGGTTACAACAGTTTGGAAACCTGCGTCTGTCCACTCAGCGCTTGTTTGTATTGTAGAAATCACACACACAATGTAGAGCTTCATCTTCAAGCCTGGTGGCTTGCTGTTCCAGTGAGTACTTATGTGAAAATGGGTTTCCTCCCAATGTGACAGATCTTCTGTCTTCCAGCCTGGAGTGTCAGAGTCCACCTTTGTGGGGCCATTAG